GAACCACACTGCTATGTTAATGTCCCCATGCAGGTCCTGGCGGAGTGAAAGTTCTTTGCAGCTCTCTTGGGCTTTGCCCTGAACTCTGCCGCTGTGGTGTGACCAGAAGTCCTCGAAATAAGTCTTTTCTCTGTGGGACTATTTTAGCAATTTGACATTCAGTAGGATTCATTTGTTTCAATTTGTTTTCAATTTGATGTTTGCTTTCCTTCCTTTCTGATTCAATTTTTAAATCAAATCATGGCTCAAAATATAAAACTGTAATCAAATGCATGCTCGATGCTCCCAGCCACCCTGTTTTCTCTCACTCAGCCCCACTTGCTCAGCCTCTTGGAGGTTTTCAGTTTCTAGTTTATCCTTCTAGTGTTTTTAAAAAAATAAATACATGTATTTCCCCTTTTATTCTTCTTCAGTAGCAAGTACACTCTTTTGCGTCTTTCTCAGTTAACATTACATCTGTTACACCTCACACTGTGTGGAGGTCGCCCACGTCTTCTTTATAGCCGTGTGTGCTGTCCTAGATGGGTGTTCTTTCGTTTATTCAACCGGTCTCTTATTGATGGCTTTGGGTCATTTCTAGTATTGTGCTGTTTCACAGAGCAGTAGTTGGTAACCCTGTACAGGCTGACTCTAGAGGTAGGATTACAGGGTCGAAGGCTTCCGTGATTGTCTCAGTCTGTCTTCTGTTGGTTTACCAAAAATACGAGCTTGTCCCTGAGGGGGAGTAACGTATAACGAAGAGGTTCATTCTGCTCACCGTGCTGGAGGCCGAAGTTGGGGATGGTGTGGCCTCATCAGCTCAGCCTCTGGCTGCTCCTGTCGTGGGGGATTCAGCGTGGCAGGAGCACCACAAGGGTGAGGGAGACCTCCCATGGTGTGACAGGAAGCCTGAGGGCTTTAGGGCTGAACTGGCTCTTTCTGTGACAGCATAATCTTTGAGAGCTCAGTCATCCTACAAGACCAGAACTCGTTCCTTCTGAGGGCGAGTGGTGCACCCACAGCCTCCGGTGATGTAGTGAAAGGTTCTGCTGCACCGTCCTGCACCCGGGAGACCCTGCATCCAGCAAAGGAGCCCACCCATCTCTGGACCCCAGCAGTGCTTTGACGGCGTGGTCACACGGACTCTGCTCTGCCATGCTCTGCACCCCAGTTTGTTTCTTGGGGGCCTCGCTCTTACAGTGGCTGTTCAGGTTCAGGATTTCACAGCTGCCAGACTTGGAATTGGTTTCAGTGAAGTTTTAGTGAGAGCAGTTGAGTCCCTCTTTGCTGCTCTTTCTTTATCTCTAACTTCTATTCATTCTTTCCCACTTTTCTCTCAGGCTCTTTGTTCCTTTTCAGGAGCCATTTATTAATTTATTTATGTATTTATTTATTTTTGGTACCAGAGATTGAACTCAGGGCCTGCACTTGCCAGGCAGGCATGGTGCCACTGAGCTAAATCCTCAGCCCAAGGAGCCCTTTATTTATTAGGGAAGTTAACTTTCATCTGTGACATAAACTGCAAACAGGTTTCCCTGCTTTGACATTTGTCTTTTTACTTTGTTTGTGGTGGGTTTTGCTATGTAGAGATTTTATTTTCAAGTAGTCTAGTGTGTCTGTCTTTTATTGCTTATAGGTTCTTTGGTTTTGACAGAAAGGCTTTCTTCTCTCCTCCCTTAGGGAGTGATTCAGACGTGTTTTCTTCTAGGAGTTGTGGGTTTCACTTTTTACAGGAGATTTCTGGCCCCTCTGCAGTTTATCCTTGTTTAGATAGCTACCAAGCTAGCCCAGGGCCATTTATTGAAAAGTCCATGTGTCCCTAGTGCCTTGAGAGCCACCCTTATCAGAAAACAACCTTTCTGAACACTTGAGTTTATTTCCGGTTTAGACCAGAGGTTGACAAACTCTTCCTGTGAAGGATGGATAGTCAGCACTTTGGACTTTCTGGGCCACATATGATCTCTGTGACATTTTCTTTCTTTCTTTGTTGTTTTAAAGGTACTTAAAAAATGTAAAAATCATTCTTAGCCCCCGGGCCGCTAAGGTCAGCATTGATCTGAGCCTCTCCACCCACACTGTTCAGGCAGGGTCTGCTCTTCTCATTGCCAGGAGCAGCCGCGGCCACATGACTCTCTCTTGCAGGGCTTTCCCCGGTGGTCTTGCTCTTTTAGCACCCATGGAGACGCGCCGGTGTCTCCTCTCCTTTTAGTGTTCCTTAGTTCGACTGGTCTGGTTCTTACGAGCTGTGCAGTCTGTGTGTCCGATTCTTCTGTACTCAGGTCCACAGTGGTCAGGGCGCCGCGTTCCCCTGACGACCGCTTTGTGTTCTGTTGATTCTGACGAGTCGTATCTTCATCGCAGTCATTTGTGCAAAGTCGTCTTGGGTTGTGTTTGCCCTTGGACATCGTTACTGATGAGTAAGTTGTGACACCATTCTCAAAATTTTTGTTACTGATTCCTAGCTTATTGCAGTATGGCCAGAGGAAGTCATTTGTGTCATTTCTGCCTCATAGAGTGAGTGCCTCTAGGTTTTCCTTGTGACCCAGTCTACTGTCAATTTTTACGAATGTAGTGATGTCCTTGCAAAGATGTATTCTGCGTTATTGGGGCACAGTCTTCTGCGTCCTTACTTGCTCACTTCCTGTCCCCTGGATCTGCCCTGGATGGAGGGAGGCTGTACCCCATCATCACTGCGTTTCCCTGTGTCCCCAGCTCTCTGGTTTACATGCTATGTGGCTATTCACAGCTCTTCCACAACTGACAGATATATATATATAT